GCAAAAATTTCATTTCCGCTTATACCCAACTGCCCAGGATATAACTCTTACAAAGTCGCAAAAATATAAATATCAATGTCCAATAACTGTTAACTAAATAGAGAAATTCAAAAAAAAAAAAAGCCAATATCGTATATATAGCTATCGCTTATGATTTATTAAATCTTCTAAATGAATCTTAAATTAAGCGATCTTATGTTCACGGGCTAATTTAATTAACTATAATAGCAATCGTTTAATTATAAATAAAAATTTCAAAAATACATAAGCTATGCATTACATACGAAGTTAATTTCTTGAGATGGACTCGGCCGATCGGGGGGTTTTTTTTTTTTTTTTAATTTTTTAAAGGTCCATTTGGTTATTAAAACATAAAAAAAAAATTTTATTAAAGATTTCAAATTTTGGCCTGGCCTAGTTATGAAAACCAACTAATTAATATCGTATAACTTAATAATGAACGTATAAGAAATCTTCAAAATCGATCGTTTCATCTTTACCCATCAAGATTTCTAACCCAAAGTTAGATGATGGTAAAACCGAAAAATGAGCTGGTAAACGTTGCGCCTGAATAAATTAATGTATCATCATTTATAGATAAGACTTGTGGTAAATTCTTAAAAGGTTATTTACCTTGGATACAATTCTTCGTTCCATGATATGTCTTAGCGGAACATGAATACCAAAGAGTTTCCCTTGCATTGTAAGGTTCAACATTTCTTCCCACTATCACATAAATATCACAAACTAAATAGTCGATTAACTAAGAATTTTAACAATAAAATGATTTCTAACTAACTTGTTTAGACCTAACTTTGACCGGCAAGATCTCTGTTGCTGTAGAATCATGAACGCTATTAGAACTTGCGGTAGCTGCCTTTGTTTTAGCGGTTGAATCTGTTAAGAGGACTGTATCAGAGAACTTAGTTTCCTGCAGATATCATATAGTTAGCTTATTCCCGCGGTTAACGATAAACGTATATAAACTTTAAGATAAAACCTTCATACCATTATACTCTTGAATAATTTGCTAAAGAACTTAGATTGACAATAATCGAACGACCGGGTAAGTCTAATAACATATTGGATTCGTCCAACTACTGGATTTATATGGAATTGATTGGTCAGCATAATAATTATAAAACGATAGGATAGTAAAAATACTAATAAATGACTTTTTTTTTTTTTTTAAAAAAAAAAAAAAACTCTCAACCCATCCTAACCATTTTATATAAAATTTAGTAGAACTAGGTCGATAGATATCATCAAAAGCCTAAAGGACTATATGCAATATATGAGTGTCGCCAAGGGGAAAATCTGTCATCGGGCTTTCAATAATATTTTGGACCTGACATAATCTATTTAATTTATTAGGGAATATGTCCGGTACAAAATATAATTGGAAGCCCGATGACAGGTTTCCCCTTGGCGGCACTCATATAGACTAATAAAATTGCTAATGGACGAATATTCATAACTTCTTTTGCTCAACAAATAAACTTACAGATAATATTACCTGAGTATATATGCACGAATTCCCGTATTACCTAAAAATAGTAAAATTACAAGATTTAATTAAAATAATTTACATAATCTTAATTGTTTTATTAGTCAAAACTTACTAATATACATGCTTACCCGTCATATCAATAAGTAGACCACTACGATACTCTTACAACTACGATACTCTTACAAAGCATACATTTTCAATCCAAACCTAAAAATAAATAAATAAATAAATAATATAGATGAATGAATGAATAAATAAGTATACATTATTGGGCAAAAATTTTCGAATATTTGCCCAATAATGGTGTTATCCGGCAATTTATGATCATGATTGGTAGGGAGTCGCTCGCTAAGTTTTAATCCGAATGAAAAAAATAACAAAAAGAATTTTTTTCATAATCATATGAGTTTGTCGAATAATTAAATAAATAAATACACTTAAGAGAATTCACTGTTCTAGCATCCATATTGATAAGTAAATTTTTATGATCGTCATGTTACACAAGCATATCATTATTACACAATTGAAAAAAATCATTATATTTAGTAACCTAAGCATAATAGATTTCTAAATTCAAAAAAAAAAATACTAATTATTAAAGGTTATTACTATATTATTTCTTAAATGCATTAAAGAACCCTTTTGCCTGTCCTTTAAGAACTAATACCTCCTCATTAATACTAATATCACTTGAAGCCAAATAATAAACAATATGCGAAGGTTCAACATGAGAAAAAATATAAAATTGATGATCACAGATTGTTGAAAAAATTGCACCATTAATGTGAAAGAAAATTTTCAAAGATACATAAGAAAGAGATTCAAAATCTGAAACAGGAGTATCAATATATGAATGAAATAAATTATTTCGTTCATACATAGCAATAATTTGAGCAACACAAGGCGTGTTATCAAATTTAGCTATTACAAAAGATCCAATTCGCAATGGAAAAAGAGCTATGTTATTGCATAAATAGCACTCTGAAAATAAAAATTCTTATTAAAAATAGATAAAATTAATTTTTAAATATATTAATAAAAATAAAATTACCTGAACGATTTTTCTCAATTAGATTATTGCTAGTTTTTTCACCAGATTTCCATCTATTTTCTCGTGATTTAGTTAAGATAAAATTATTTTTTGTCAGATATGACACTAAACTGCTCACCTTATTAATATTAAGCCTACTTAAAACATTCCTTTCATTATCATCTTTAGAAGAAAATTTAATTCGTACAAGGTTTTTTTCTGAGTGTGCATCATGATGTCGATGTAACTCCAATAAAAATTCGATATTCAACAAATCATTATCCAAAATAATCTCAGATCTAGAATCTATAAAGATAAAATTCTAAATTATTTATATACAATAAAATTAATATTAAGAAATTAATTATTCACCATTTGGAAACCATGGAATTTCAGGTAACTTTTGAATCCGTTCAATAATTATTTGACATGTCTCATAAATTTTTTCTAAAGGAAGTTCAAGCCTTGAACTTGAATTAAATTCTTGGTTCCTATTCATCTCAGATATCGCATTGCTTATGCAATGAGAAATAGGTAAACTACAGTCCATGTTATATTCATCATTATTAACAGTTTCAAGACTTAAATCTTTATTCCAAAAATCTTCAAGTTGTGAATTAGGAAATTTCTTGTGGATATTAAAATAATAGGCATCATTGAGTATAGAGTTTATTTCTAAATGTCTCACTAAGTGGATGGCCCTTTTATAACCAATATTAATAGTGTCATCAATCTCAATATCAGATGGCCAATAGTGCAAACATTCAAGATCATTGTCCAAAAGGTTAAATTCTTCATATTCATTAAAGTTGTAACCTAAAATAAGTTGAATAAGTTTCAAATAAAATAAGTAATAATAATGATATATGTGAATATATAGGTATTTTCTTTGTACAATAACTTTAACTTTATAAAATATGAGTGCTACCAAAGGAAAATAGGACTTCGGTTTATCTTTGATTTATTTAATCGATGATAAACAAAAGTTCCATTTCCCTTGATAGCACTCATATGGTATTACTATACATCATAAGGTTATTCTCAAGATAAAGACTCATATAATTAAACTTATGTTTACCTTCACATACTTTTTTTTCTTTTCTAAATAGTAAATTATCTAATTGAATAGATTTAAAATATTGACTAATTTTTGGAACCATTTTCAGAATTTCTAAATAAGTAAAATCAGGACAAAATTGACAAGCAATTCCAAAGATATACTCACAAGATTCAGTGCCATGTTTTCATGGTAGTAAAGGTATATTCTCATAATAATCTCTATGAATCTTAATTAAAAGAACTAAAGATTTGACTAAACTAATCATAATATTAAAAGTTTGCATTGCCAAGAAGTTTTTTGACATGGATATATATAAAAGATAAGAAGCACTAAGGGTTTCAATATGATATTTCCATAGGTGTAGAAAAAAATATGCTGTCATAGCCATTTCAATTCTTTCATGATGAGTAATATTGCGATTAAGATAACCATCAATAAGTTCACCTAAAATAAATCGAAGCTAGTTAATTTAATACTATATAAAATATACTTAAATTATGAAAATTTTAAATTAATATATACCCATAATAAAAAGATATATAAATAGGCCTCATAGTTTAGGTGGTAAAGCCTTTTCTTCGTCTAATATTTGAGCCAAATTTCTCGAACAAAAATACCCTATATGCAGCATTATCGTCTTGACGATCCAATTTTATTACATCTCACTTATACATAACACTTTCTTCTTTAAAAGATAATTCTAACAGATAATCAAACCGGACTATAGAATTTCCAAATGTAAGTAACCGAGCACCTGATATAACAGCATTTCTTGCTGTTTTTTTTTCCATGCTTCAGATCTTGAATACGGATTATAGGCCCAATTTTGGGAAATATAGGACAGTTAAAATTAATACCAAATTGAGAATTTCAGTGTTGAACCCGATATTTTGTCTCAGTTGCTTGTAAAAGATTCTGTGCCTGAAATTCAGCAGCAGCGCCATCTGATCCAATAGATATTATGTGTATTTCCAGATCTGCTGCAATGTCTATAAACTTTTTATGAAGTACAAAAATTTTTTCACTATTATCACTTCTAGTTAGAATTAATGCTACAATTATTGGTAGAAATTTTGAAAGAGGCACCTAGTAATTTAAAAATCGATTAAATAAAATATTATAATAAAATTTAAATTAATTATTGACTATTACCTGAAGAACATAAGCTCTAACATATTTTGCAACTGCGTTTTCTTGCTTTATATCAGAAACCTTATTATATATATTATCGTAAGTTTCAATCTTACAATCTTTTTGGTTTAAGGTCGATCCAACAATGCAACCTAAACTTGAAGAATACTGTAACCCGACTTTTATTTTTGTACAATCAGTCATAGCCACAACAGGACCCTGATAATGCAATGTATCTAAAAGTCTCTTAAAATGAGCAACATTTTCATAGCAAAGATCAGGATTATTGATAACATTATCTGAAATTCTTCTATAATGCCTATAAATAATAAACCAATTTTTAAATATAATTATGCTGCTAGACAAGGCGGATAATTTTCTGTGGTGATATAATTTAATTTTTAAATTAAATATATAATTGGTATACATTAAATTATAATTACCTTATTGTTCGAATAGTTATACCTGCCAAATTCTAACGAAATAAATCCAATGCTTTTAAACTGATACTTCCCAAAATTACAAGGAAATTTAAGAATTCATTTGAATATTTGAGGTTCTGTAAACCTTTATCTTGTTTTTCACGTTCTGTAGCTTGTAACATAATATAGCAAAGTCCTTTAAAAACCAGCTTTTGCTCAAATACGCCTTCATTAGCTTTCTCTGAAAATTCTGTCCAAAATTCTTTTGATGATGAATTCCCATCAAAAAGAATGTTATGCAATTGTTTAATGTGATTATTTTTCAGGTAAGATAATAATGGATCATTATTATAATAAAATTTGGGTGTATATTTAATATTTTTTGGGTCAGGAGTAACAGCTTTAATACGATCCAAAAAACATGGATTATTATAAAAAAGAGAACACGGAAAGCAGGTTTGCCTATATGTTTTTTTTCACAATTAACAGAACGAATATACATCCCTAAGATTACCATTATAAAGCCAAATAAATAAATTCTGAGTAAATAATAAAAAGTTCTAATATAACAGAGTGAATAATTAATTTCAATCATGGCATTAATTAACTTACCAAAACGATCGATAAACTATTCGGATTCAACCATTACTTGTTGATTAAATTGTATTATTTCTTCTTCATTAAGTTTTTTAGAATTGAAATTCATATTATTTGAAAATTTATTTGGGAACATTTCCTTTCCAATCACTTCACGTCATCATGTGCCACCATAGATAGATGGTGTTCTATTAATGTAAGAACTAATTTGTTCAGAATGTAATCCAGGACAAGGTTTATTTGGAAATGGTAGAAAAGATAGCGACAGTGGCAGTAAAGATGATGGTGGGTACAATGATAATGGTGGATTTTTTTTTTTTTTTTTAGGGTTAGGTGAGACCGGGAACAGACTAGGTAAGCCGAGCTGCTTTTTTTTATTATTCAATTTACATCTTGAATTTTTAGAATATTCGATAAGCCTTGACTCATCATAATCATTGTCTAGGACAATTTTTTGTCCACACACACAAAATACTGTGTGTTCATCAATTATAGCCCCACAAAATATATTACTAGCTAAGCGGGCTCGAGTATGTTTCCACTTCATTTATTTCTCAAACAAAAAATTCTCTGTAGCTCAGCCGGGTTAGTCTTACATATATATATATTTTTTATCGTTATAAACCTTTTAAATGAGATTTTTAAAGAAATTTACATACCAAAGTTTTTTTTTTACGTGCCAGACTTTTTTTTACGTGCTAAACTATTTCAAACTTTGTTTTAGCTAATTAAAATGATATTATATGCATGTATATAAGTACGTACATATGGTATGGGAAATTAATCGCTTAAGGTATATATAGAATAGCTACCATTAAGTGCATATTGCGTCGATATTACTTTTGGCATACGTGAGATCGATAATTTAAGAATTATTTTTCATTAAGTTATTCTCCAAAAAAAAGGATAATCGACAAAAAGTTAAACATAACAATTCAAAATTTTAAATATTTTGACAAAGTTCAAAATATGACCATTATTTAAATTAATATTAATTCGCCAAATTACAAATTTGGAACTTGCATCAAATTTGAGGCAATTTCACTAAAACGTAAATATGATCTATATGAGAGATGTCCAGGGTCCTATTTTTTCATGCCATGCAGAGACCTGAAAATTATAGATACATAACCTAATTATCTGAGTTCATACGATTGAGAATATTAGTAAATTTTATAAGGGGATATATATTGATTATTAACCAGGAGGATATATATCAATGCCAATCACCCCTGCGGGGTTCTATCGATTATGATTATAATCGATATA